TGATTAAGCCTCTGAATGGAAATGGTTGGGATCATAGAACTAATGACATACATACCATATTTTACTTCTGTGGGTGTATACCACTTCAATAAAACTAGCGTATTTACACGCTTGTCGCCGATGAACCTGTACTCACTGAACATACCAATGGTTTCTAGTTTTGTATTGTTCATATAATTATTTACTTCTTGCAGTAACATTTCTTTACCTGAGGAACGCTATTTGTTCGACTTTACTAAAAATGATGATGTGGTAAATTGGCAAGAACAATCCGATACAGTTCGAAATGTGGGTATGTCGAAAGCTTTACTTGCTTTACATCAAAATACTCTGTACAGACGGGCAATATTTTTTGCTTTATTAAATCCACAATCAAACGGAGCTGGATTCGCGGGCATAAGAGCCATCAAAACATACAATCTTACTGGTTACACAAAACTACAGATCAAATGCAGAGGCCAAGGGCAATATAATGGATTTAAAGTTGTTTTGCGACACAAAGGACTAAATGATGAACCAAACTATTCATATGAACAATATTTTCAGGTATGTACGTAATTCTTTAAAAATAATTTGAATCGAAGCCTTATAGTACTAAAATTAAATATTAAATGCGTTTATTACTAAAATTTTGCTGTAATGTTAATATACTTATTGTGAGGAAACGTCGATACAAGGAAAATAGACTTGAAAAATCTTAATTATATAGGGATCTTAATCTTAGCTCCCAATAAAAAACTTTTTCAAAACAAAATGACATCGTCACTTTAATTGATAAGCTTCTGTTTGTGTAATTTTTAAATACTGGTTAAAAAGATAAGTATTATGAGGTCGTCACATGTCTAGAGGTGAACGAATTTAAATCTATATCAAACAATAATGGAACAGTTTTTTTATAACTTTCAGATTTTGTGCTCATTTTCATTCATTTTGACTTTCAATGTAATAGTTTTTCTACTGTTTACATTAATTTCATTGGTAGAAGAACTATTATCCTTACTAATATTATAAATGCGAAAGTAATTCTGTCCGTCTGTCGCGCTTTCACGATAAACTAGTACACAGCTAGCATCAAGCATCTTAATAATATTTTTTTTTACGTAATTCCAGGCTCCCAAAGATGAATTTGCAATAAGAACTTTACCTTTTTCTGAATTCAAAGCATACTACAGAGGCAAAAGGAACAACAATAGTGAACCTTTGGATATATCCCAAATAACCAGTATAGGTCTTCAGATGTATGGTGGAGTGTACCAGCCTATTAAACAAAAAGGACCAGCTACATTAGAAATCGATTGGATCCGAGCTGTATAAAACATAGAAAAACTACTTTTTTTAATGTGATACTTATTTTAGAGGAAAAATGAAATGGATTATGTATAAAAAGGCAGACAAAATAATATGTATATTTTATTACCTAGAATTATGAACACCACTAAATATATAGTTAGTACACGAGAAGCATACGTGTGTTTTCACTTTTACCGTTGCCGCGTGGGCAGAAGCAGTGTGAGAGCGGTCATTGCGTCAGGAAAGAGGGAATGGTAGTTGACGAGAGGCACGTAGGCCGCTGTGATGACGCGACCCGCAAACCAGCGGCCGTGCAACGAGTTGACGGATGCGACGGCCGTGGCTATCGTGGGGCACTTGCAGTACACGTTGCCTTGCGGCGACGCCTTATCTACGTACACGTGCAACACGCCGCCATGCTTATTGCACTCGCTGATCACGTCGTCACGGATCTCGATGTCCCAATGAGGATTTGTTTCTCTGTAAACAAATTACAAATTAAATATATTCCATGTGGGGAATTATCTTCATACTACTATTACTAAAGGAAAATAGGTCATTTTGTTTGGGACTTGTCCAGTGTGTATGATTTTGGAGAATGTTTCATTTAGAAGAGGCTTAGTTGAATAACTCAAAAATAAATGAATGGAAAACAGAACTTATAGTAACTTATATAATACATTTTAAAGTGCTATCTGAATTTTTAATTCTGTAGACAAAAAGAAAAACTTTGTTTGTTTGTTGTCTTGTTTCTGTCTAAGCAGAGATTGACTTAGCTGCCCATGACTAACCATGTGGTATGGAAACAATAAAATGAAAACCATCAATTAGGCACCAAAACTTTTAAAATGTGTTATTACTCTCTGACTATATCTAAAAGTTTGAAATATGTAGGGTGAATTAACAAATTTCAATATGAAATAGGTTTTTAATCCCCATGCTACAAAGGCCCCATATAACAAATATGTATAATGTATTTTTAAAGAGATATATAATGGTACCAATTTCAAAATGCTAAAGCTGATGATTAATAGTTAAATGTTTATTTCTTCTATTTAATTTGATATTTATCTTTAAATTTTCTTAGGTAAAATTTGTATTGATTTTTTTTAACTTACGTGGCAGGATCAAACATGTTGTTTAGCATAAAGCATTGTGTTGCTATTGGCGGTGCTACTTGTGGCTGCGGAGCAACTATATTAGATCCAGACCCCATTAAAACAGACGCGGCGGCAGGAGGAATCTAAAGTATAATAATAAAAAATAATACAACATGCTATAATTTTTTATCAGTACTATTTAAAAGAGTGACTTGAAAATGTTCTATATTATGAATACCAATAGTATTGTGACATAAAGGCTATCAGAATGTAATATTAAGATAAATGGTTTCTGATTGCCATATTGTGTTTTGGTTATTTAGGTAAAGTTATGTATGAAAATTGTCAATTTAATATATTCAAAGCAACATAAATGTATAAAGAATCTCAGTCCGGTCCCGTCAAGCACTTAACAACTTTGTCAATGATGATCTTGACAAAATGTTTTGCGGTAAACAAGTTTTTTTTGTAAAAATAAATTGTACATACTTGCAATCCAGTTCCCTCTGCAAGTTTGAACATTAACTGTAATCGGCCCGTTGCTCCAAGATCAACGCCTGCTCTGTCCAGTTCATCAGCATCAAAACGAGTACTGGAGCCACCATCTGTGCGTTCGGTAACATTTCCTACTTTCATTGGTCTTCCAGCTAATTCAAACCCATTCAATTGTTCCATTGCCTTTTTTGCATCTGTTGCATGATGGAACTAGAGGAAAAAATTATTTACATATAAATTCATTGAATTTTAATATGCACACTTTGGTTGACATTAATGTGTATCAACAGCACATATATTTGCATCATGGACCTGGATGTGTATGGATGAACTTTTTAGCACAGATATAATAAACTTACCGTTAAAAAACCATAACCTTTACTTTTCCCTGTTTCTGGGTCAGTCATTAGTTGGATGTGATCAATTTTCCCGAATGGCTCGAAAATTCCTCGCAACATATCCTCTGTAATATTAAAATGCAATGAGCCAACATACAGTCTAGTGGGACCATTACTTGTCTTTGGAGCTAAGTTAGGCAAAGTATTGCCTACTCTGTTTTTCTCTGCCTGTGTGTGTTGTACTATAATAGGGACACCAAGTAATTTTTGTCCGGTCAATCCCAAAGCCTGTAAAAAACCAAATGATTTATAACCCATATATCTTAAACAACAAATATATATATATATTAATCATTACACATTTCATTGACATACCAATGGTACAGACTCAGCATCCTTAAATTCTATGTATGCTATCCCCTTAAACCTCCTAGTTTTGTTACATGTTATAAGTCTAACATCTCTAACTTTCCCAACGGACGAGAAGAATTCTTCTAAATCTTTAGCTCTTATACGTTGAGATAACTGCATACAAAATACAGTTCTCAAATCTCTTTCCTCTGGGGGTAAATCCTCTAATTTTGGTTCAATTCCTCTTGACTTAGATCGATATTCGTTTTTGGGTTCGGCTTCCCGACTTTTTTCGCGTCTCGAGTGCCTGTCCTTACTACGCTCTCTCTCTTTACTGCGTTCCTTATCTCTGCTACGCCTCTTCTCCCTGTCTCTTTCACGTTCCCTTTCCTTATCCCTGTCGCGATCTTTATCTTTTATGTGCCTGTCATTGCGATCTTTGTCACGATCCTTACGATCTCTGTCTTTTTCCCTATCTCTATCTTTCTCCTTGTTCTTTCTTTCATCCCTGTCTCTTGAGCGTCTCGAATCCCTATCTCTCGATCTTCTTTTCTCTCTAGATCTGCTGCGTCTAAAATAAAATTACCTTGTGATTATTTATTACAATTCTCATTTTACAGTTTTTAGTATGTTCTACATTAAATGTTTTTTCTTTTAGACCAGTGACGCCTATATAGCCCTATATTTTTTTTAAGATTTTATTTTATTAGCAGTTGAAGGTTAACAAACACCAGTTTAAATTTCCTCTACTTATTTTAGGTTATACTTTTCCTCTTTGCATATTTATTCCATGACTACCTCACCATTTAATCTTTGCTTATGCTTGCTTTTAATCTTATTGTTAACAAAGCCATATTGTTAAACAAAAATTATTAAAGAAATAAAAAATTAAATTGATTATTAGGACACCAGTGATTTGTATGCTTAATGTTTGTTATAGAATATTACCTAGTTTACATTATTTCATTCAATTCAAGCAATGCATTCAAGTCTGTTTTTACATTTCCAGTTATAATCCAGCATTGCAACCCATCACTGCCTTGGAGTAATGTAAAATATTTAGGGCATTGCAACAAATGCTAGGTTTAACAAGTGTACATTTAAAATTTCGAATTACCTTCGACTGCCATCCTTTTCTCTATCTCTGTGCTTATCAGAATACTTGTCCGATCGATGTTTTGAAGAGGATGTGGTGTCCTGTCACACAAAGCACAAGGTAGAAGCAGCACCACAGCAACACGCCAATGAATAAATAAAAAATGTATTAGTAAATTTATATTGACAATACAAAAGCATCTGTGAATATTCCATCACTCACAAAGATCTTAGAATGTTAAAGAGATGAAACATCACAAATGTAATTATTACTTTGCCTAGACTTTGTTGAGACGGCTTTTTGGAAGTGGTTTGTCAAATTTGTGTTTGTTTTTCTCTATTCCCCGCTGACTTACCGTTTAATAAACCATTGACTAAGGGTGTAAACAGCTAACATCACAGACGGAAACTTCTGCAAAAGATTTATCACCCATAAGAGTGTGACTTTTCCACAATGATTTTAATACATTTCGTTTTAACTAGCAGATAAGTGATTGTTTTATTTATCAGAAAATAAAAATATTATATAGTATTGGATACCTCTTTTTGGTTCAGGTTGATGAAGTATGCTGGACAATAACCACAAAGTTCTATAAATATAAGAAACGATTCTCAGATGTAATTTTGTTTTACAGTTTTATACAGTTGAAAGATGTAAAAACTTAGATTTTATAAAAAAGCTATAAGAAATGAATCTGCTCTTTATGTTTACTGACAAAATCATCTTAGATTGTTTAACTTATACAAAAAAAATGTTATTATTTTTAGTGGCAAATACATTACTTTGAAGTTTTTGGCATTTGTAATGCACATGTCTTATGAGTATTCTATTAAAATAAATTAGATAAAACTTCTATAGTTCAAAATTACTATAAATTAACCAACTTTCTGTATTCATTTGTTGAAATGAAATTTTTTTGATCAAGATACAACAAACATTTTTATGGTTGTGAGAGGTAACAATAATATACAATGTATTTAACTTTAGTTAAACATGAAATGAATTCTACTTGTTTTACATAGGTATGTATGTCACTATAGTAGATATATAACAATTGTTACATCTTAAAATACTAACATAATATAACTTCTAATATACATGTACAGTCGCTATTTCAGTTGTCTTAGTTAAAACAAAATTGACCATAATGTAGTTGAAGTTCAAAGATGCATGTAAATTAATTTGAAAATACTCACCGATTTTATATATGGCGCTTCGAGCATTGCCTCTACATCAAAATCTTCGGCCATTCTGTGGATTAAAAATGCGATTGTTTCAATTGTTAGAATAAACAATACATATAAATTTACAATTTGAAAAGCATCAGGCTACAAATTTTCTACATGAGTGAATATCACAATATTTAAAATACTAAGAAATTTTGCGAGTCTGACGACTCTACAATACATAATTAGTAACAAAATGGCGCTCGGTTCACGTTTCCGTTTTATTACTATTTGACAAATACATAAAATTACCTTATAGTAATTGAAATAATACGTTGTACGTACCTAGTAATAACAAAATTTGTATTAAGCTTGAAGATTTCGTTCTTGTTGAACTAAATAGCGTCTTATATTTTACGTTCAGAGATATTGAATGACAAGAAATATGACCATATTTTTTTCTTTCCAGAAATAATTTTCAGACTTCTGGCACTGACCACAGAGCAGAGTAGCAAAGCACAGATTGGGGCATAAACTAGACGCATAAATAAAAATAGAAAAACGGACCATAGAGAAATTCGGAAAAATAACAATTTGGGTTGTAAAGTGATGGTCAGCTTCAACATTTGGGCCTATGATAAATACCTTTATTGCGCAATTAAATTATGGAAAATTGAAGTCAACTTTTAACTTCTGTTTAGGTATAAAGCGTTTCGGTTTTATACAAGATACGAAGTTTATATGTTTTAAATGTGGAAAACAAGAAAACCAATCAAAATCAAGTAATTTTTACGTTTTAATGAGTTAGGAGGAGTTGATAAACAGTTTACATTGTGTATCACAACTTATTACTTACTCTTCGGCTTTACGGCACAAGTATAGATTGTATATTGTCACCATTTTTATTTTATATACTCTTTGATTGTCACTGGTATTTTTTATATTGGCAAAAAATAGTAATCAGTCACTTGTCAAAAACAAAAATAGTGAAGCAGTTTATGTTGTTCTACTTTTGCTAAATAACCATATATTTTAACTAAAAAGTAACATTACTGATTCTAAGGAATCAGAAAATATTGTATTTACCAAGGAAACAGATTAATAAATCCCAGATTTTAGATTAGATTTATGTTGTAAAGTGGTGTCTCAAACATGACTACCGCGGCCAGACCAACGTTCGATCCAGCGAGAGGTGGACAAGGACGTGGAGAAAAGGATCTAAGTGCTATATCTCGTCAATACTCTAGTCGAGATCTTCCAGGGCATACTAAACTAAAATACAGGTACCTATGGCTTCAAGTTTTGTTAACATATATACAATCATATTTTTTTTTAGATTTAGCTAGATAATTTGCTGTACGTGAGAAAGTAAAAACTGAGTTTGTTTATTTTATAGGGAACAAGGTCAAGGGACTACAGAAGAGCTACGCTCAAGAGATTTCCGTAAAGAATTAGATGAGAGGGAAAAGGAAAGCAAAGGACCCTCAGCAAGGAGGCAAAATGAGCCACCTGCAAAGAGGTTGAAAATAGATCAAGTGCCTGCTGCTAGTTTAGATGCTGACGACCCATTAGAAGGAGATTCTACAGATTCTGATGATTCAGATGATGACACAGCAGCTTTGTTGGCAGAATTAAATAAAATTAAAAAGGAGAGAGCTATTGAACAGGCAAAAAAGGTTTGTGAACTCTCATAATAGAAATTCCATGTAACATAATTAAGTTCTAATCTGTATTACTAATTATCATTATTGATGTTTATGTTACTTTGCAGGATGCTGAGAAGAAGCAAGAGGAAGAAAGAATTCGTATGGAAAACATATTGTCAGGCAATCCATTACTTAATTATTCTGCAGCAGGTCAAAAAAATGATTTAAAGGTAATCTTATCAATAATCATAGGGGTAAACAATTTAATATGACATCAACTTTAGCATGATCAATATAATAGGTCACATATGACATTTGTTAATTTTAGCTTCATAGTGATGTGACATGCTTAAAACCATTATTTAAAGTGAATGATTATAATTCAGTTGTCATGAAATTACAATGAATTTTTGTTTATGCAGGTTAAAAGAAGATGGGATGATGATGTTGTGTTCAAAAATTGTGCCCGTTCAGAGCCGGAAAAGAAGCTAAACACATTTATAAATGACTCTTTGAGGTCCGAGTTCCATAAAAAGTTCATGGAAAAATATGTCAAATAGAAAATTACAAACATGTTTTTTCCACCTATTACATAGAACTCAAGTTATTTTGTATTATATTTACTTAATTAAGTGAGGTACAAGTGTAACATTTCATGAGAAATTAAATTCATAATAGCAAGTTCAAACAAATGTTTTTTGTTTTATTGTTAGGAAGAAAATCCAACACAGCGCCGGTGTACTGGCACAACACTAGCCTTAAAGCGAAAGCGCGCCAAAAGATTCTAACAAATAATGTCAAAAAGTATATAAATTTGATATAGAATATAATCCCGAATAAAAGGCGGAACTAGCAAAGTGTTTTGAACTGTCCAATGATATTTAGCTCTGCCTAATTCCATGATTCCTCTATTTCAAAGTACTACCTTCCATCCACTTTTGACACTATGCTAAGGGTTTTTATAACAATTTCGCAACATTTGTTATATTAAAACGTTTTTGTACGGAAAAATATAATAAAAAAATTATTACCGACATTTCTAAAAAAAATCCTACCCTTGTAGTTATGGGTGATTAACATTATTAATTCATGTTGTATAAAATGTTATATTTATTTAGCTGCAAAAAATTTGCTTCGCGAAATTTTGCTGCGAGGCAGCTAGTAAGTTATAAATAAGTTGGTCGATGTTTTAGTATAATTAAGGTAGTTGTATTTGATAGTTCCCCTCGCCCACGCATAATTCAATTAAAATGGTCAAGTTGTGACGCAGCATACGCGGCCAATGTATATTTAATAATAAGGAAATGGTTGTGTAAATTACTAGCGTATGCTATCGTATCGGGTCACTACAGTTTAAAACAACTATGTCATTACATTGTGCATATCACAAATGGAGCGTTATACCGTTTTTATGTATGCCGATTCTAGTGAATCTAATTTTATTCCTTTGTGTTCTCGGCATACGTGAGTGTTATAATCGGAGGCGAGTGCGCTTGGCGCATTGAGTGGCGTTACAATGTTTACATTATTGAGACGATGTGTGGCGAGTGGCGTTGGCTAGCGAGAGGGAGGGGAAGCTGCGAAGAGTGCGGTGCGACGGCCGCCGGCCCACCTTGAGTGGGCAGGTTCGGTGGCTGCATGGTCGTCCCGTGCGATTCCGCAGCCGTCACGACCGTAAACTTTTTATTCATTAGTGAGCCGACTGCTTCGAGAGCGTGCGTCGTTGTGTCAATCGGTCCATAAACATGTCTTATCCGAAGACGGCATGGCGGTGTGTTACTTTATTATTGTTTATAGTGACGTGTGAGGCGGTACTCTCTGGTTTGTACATTGATAATGGCGTGGATCAAACTGTTATTCATCATTCGATGACACGCCACGAAAGACTATTAGTTGAACATGAAATTCTGGATCTTTTGGGTTTAGGGGAGAGACCTCGACGCACTAGTGCGCCGCCTTTAGACCGGTCGGCTCCTAGTTTTCTGCTAGACGTGTACAAGCAACTAGCAGAAGAACATGAGCAAGCACGGCCGACGCGAAGCTCGGAAATGGCTTTGAGTGGTGAAGAACAGCAAGCTATTGATGAAAGTGATTTAATAATGACATTTCAAAGTAAAAGTAAGTATGTAAATTAAATATTATTGATATCTGTGTACTTGACTACAATAATAATCAGCGCTGAATGTGTGGATATTCTGTCGTGTTTATGTTAATGATAAATCTACAATACTGTGCCAATTCTTAAACGACTATTACTTAAAAATTAGAATAATACAAATAAAATTATTTATCCTGGCAGAAAGGATAGGTAGTTGATAAAAAAGTGACTATTTTCAATTGTCTGTGTAAAGTCCATACTGTCTACTCCAATGTTTTATACGCATTAAACTTGACATGACAGAAAACTTATTTTTTTAATGTCAAAACATAAGTAAAACATTCATCTGCAAGACATACCAAATAAAAATTGAAAATTTTACATCTGGCCACTAGAATATTTGTCTTCCTGTTAACATATTCCGGTATTTGCAGTGCAGTAAATTATGCGATTTGGTCAATAATAAATGATACTTTTATATTAGTGATACGCTGGTGCTGTATACGATCCTGAATAATACATGAACGCCTGGGGTTAGGGGGGCTTTCCTAAGGCCTAGGGATAGCTGTTGTAATGAACATTTTCACATTGGGACACTGCAATGTTTCTTTAACTTTATTTTGCCAGTAATGACATTTATTGACGTGTTAGATATCCAAATGGTGGATGTAGCCGCCGTAGGGTTCGTAATAAATGTGAATGCTTTTTACACCATGTATGCCGCAAATAGTTGTGCCATATAATTAGCATGAAATTTTAATTTGCGTTAATTACACTTTAGAATTTAGCAGAATAATTGGATACGATACTTAGAGCTTTGAAATTGTAAGGAAGATATATTTATTGTTTCTGTAAAATGTTGTATTCCGAGGAGGTGTGTAAAGAGAGCTCAAGACTCAGGTAGGTTGAGTCATTACGCGCTGTCTGCGGGCGACCGGGCCGCATACCAAGCGACGGATTGATGTCGACCGCCCGCATACTTATAGGAATAGGACAGGTAGACATGAATAATCCTCCAGTCAATAAATAATATAAAATTTTTGTCTGTGCTGTTCATCTTTTTCTGTGTTATTACAAAACTAAAATCTTATCACTATTGACAATCTCGGTCTGAAAAAGGGTCTGTACAATGTACCAGGAAATTGTGATTCGGCACACTGTTACGTTACAGACAATACAATACTATACTAGTAATGTTTACTTATAAATTATTACGTACGTCTCAAGTTTAATAGCAAATTATATTATTTTCATACGAAATTTGTCACATGCATTTGAAGTACGCATGATGTGTTGCTATCCAGCTTACTTTGAAATTATTTGCTCTCGTATGTGACAATAAAGGTCAACATCCGTACCGAAAGTCTGCTTATGCCTTTTAATATCGCATTTTGTTATACAGTCGGTTAAAATTGTCACGATAAGGTAACTGTTTATACATTCGCCTCGCTCCACACCTGGCGTGGCCACTCGACATCGAGGATGAGTTACTGCCATACACGCGTATATAACTTGTCTGAAGGAACATATTTAAGAAAAGTTTATTTCAGTATAATTTATAAAAAACTTTGTTAATAAAATTAAATCTTTAAAACTCGAAGTCAAAGTAAAAAGCATTAAGAAAAATGCAGTGTTTCATGAGATTGTATACATATATACATATGTATTTGCTAATTTTAGCAACCGTGTCAAAACCCGGTGAATATTAGCTCTCAACATCAAAGGAACCAAAGCGAAGTTAAAACTTCAGCAATTTATATAATGTAGGGATACTTGGTGTTATCATTCGCAGAACTATAATGAGGTGGCTTTATTAATAATAAATAAAACGGCTTACTACAATTTCTATTGCAGTGTGCACAATACGACGTTGTAATTGTTATGGAAAAATACACCATCGTATAGTTTTTAAGTTGTAATTATATGTAGCAAATCAATGATTCTTAAAGAATCTAAATTTGGCACAATCAGTTATAATGATAAATATAATAAAATATATCATATATGTATGTAATTTAAATAATATTGCGATGAAATCTATATGATTTGTATAAAATTCAATGTCACATACGAGAAACATGTTTATTAAACACGTGCAATATGATATCAAGTTACAACGCTGCTTAATGGGACACCTGTTATAATTTATTAATAGTCCATATTTATAAAACATTTGATAATTAGGTTTAATATGATAAATTCAATAACATACGGCAATTCACAACGTCCTAGAATTCAATTTAATTTCGATTAAACTGTTGTTCAGTTTATATGTTGAAGTATAAAATGTTGAAAATTAACGTAGGTATGACAATTATTAAAATAGATGTTTCGAACATGTGGCTAGAATCTAGGAAGATCGTAGCTTATGATCGTTGATTGCAAGACCGTCCTATGGGCGGAGTGAAGTTTCAAGAGAAATTGTTTTTTCATTTTCCAATTTTTTGATGACAATATTCATCGTCCTAACATTCATTTATGCTATAATAGAATTTCCGGCAGTATACAGTATTAAACAGTCAAACATTTATGGATTCAAGATAGTTAGCAAACATTTAATTACTTTTAATGTATCACTTTGCTTATAGAGCATCACCTGGGAGCTCTCCGTCACGGTCACGGACGGCACGTGTGGTTCGAGGTGTCTGCTGCGCCGAGCGACGCGTCCTCCCTGCTGACGGCGGAGCTACGCGTGCACCAGGCCCCCAAGCATACCGACGAACCCACCAGTCTCTACACTGTCGTCGCGCACAGAGTCCTCAGCGTCGATAATGTCGGGTCAGTAATTTCAAGATTTATTTTGCGTCGGATATTTATTAATAGGAGCTCTAATTGGCTGAAGAGATATAAATGCGTCCCCAACATATGACTGTTCCACGTCTCTTTTAAATAGATTTTTTAATGCAAAGAGTATAAAATTCGTATCATGAATATGTCGGTTCGAATAAAAGACGTTAGTGGGCGTTAACGTAATAACCGAACTTTTGCTACGACTAACTCATTCTGTATGAGTTTGGAGTGTTTTTGTGTGATACAAGTATACATTACTAGCGTAATGGTAACACTTTACAGAGGGCTACAAATGGAGAGTGTGGCGGCGGTGAATACGAGCGCGGGGGCGGAGGGCTGGCTGGAATTGAACGTCACCAAGGCGCTGCGGGCCTGGCTCACCGAGCCCACAGAGAACCGAGGCTTCTTTATCACCATCCACCCACATTCGCAACCAGGTGATCGATGAGAAGAGATACATTCTTTACATTTAAAATCTTGCATTTTAGATATGCAAGTTTGTATTCATTTGGTATAAAAAAAGTAGACAATTATTTCTCTCTCTCTCTCTTTTTTTTGAGGATAATTGCTATACTCTATAGAAAGACTCATTTAGAATAGATATATACAATAGATTCATTATTTTGTATATATATTATACTTCATGACATTATTGTGGAATATATTAATAAAAGATGTAAGCGTATTGTCTAAAATAAAATCAAATGGAAATTTTCATCTTGACTTGACTGATTTTTCTTTGTATAGGGACTAAATGAAACTTGATAAGGCAGTGGGCGTCCATTATATACAGTGCGGCGTATCATCTCTATCATCATCTACCTTGAGTTCTTTTACTCTACCTTTGTTTGTTTACTCAAAATGTATCTATACAGAACGTCACGTGAAGCCAGAAGAAATAGGTTTAGAGGAAGCTCGTGGGTCCGGCGCCGATGGCAAACAGCCTTTCCTGGTGGCGTTCTTCAAGAACGGGCCCAAGCTGGGCGGGTGGGACGCCGGGGCGCGGCGCAAACGTGAAGCAAGGCGGTGGAGGACTCACGGCTATACTGACAATTACCTAAGAAATCCCTTGACCGGTAAGTCATATTGTGTCATAATCTTACTTTGCTGAACTGATTTTTATTCGCTTACAAAATAAAGTCATATTTAATACATATGGCAATATATTAAATGTAAATAAAAAAAATAAACAATACAACTGTTTTCCAACAGAACAAATTCCACGCTTCGAACATAATATACCTCGAATATAAACAATGTTTTTATAAAATGCTAATATATTCCAGACACGTCGCATTGGACAACCAGAAGCTGCGAAATCCAAACATTGTACGTGAGTTTTAAGGATTTGGAATGGCAAGTAAGTGTTTCGCCCTAAGTATTATTTATTCAGTATTCGATACGTAAAATTAAAAAATGAATCACTATATTAATACAAATAAATATTAAAGTGTAAATTTAACTATAGTATGAATTTAGCAATAGTATGAATAAAGTAATAAAATTAAAAAACGAATTAGTGTTCATAATGTTCAATTGAATTGTAAGCATTAATTTTGTATTTTCCAGGACTGGATAATAGCTCCTGACGGCTACAGCGCATACTACTGCAGCGGAGAGTGCAACTTTCCACTGAACGCGCACAAAAATGCTACAAATCACGCCATCGTTCAAACATTGGTGCATTTACTAAACCCTACACAGGTAAAAAAATATTTTCATAATTAGCTCACTTCAATAAATAAATCTATACGTCTAATGTGGTCTATTTCAACGTCATTGTTAATATTCGGCCTAAGAAGAGATTGATGAATTGCTCGGTAGATGATATAATAAGAAGGGGTGAAAGCTATCAAGACTAAAGTAAATAATGGTAGACTGATTTATCATGGGTTTCTAAGAACAAAATCTCCGCTTAAAATATGTTGTTATCTCCGTTTTATCAAAGATAATGACAGGGATGACAATATGTTTTAAACAGAGATTTTGGTCTCAGACAACCACGGTTAGAGAAAAGCTTTTGTTTCGATCCCATATGAAATATAACTTGCGTGAGATAATTTGGAAGTAAGGCCTTTCTATTTCGTCTTCAGATTACATAAAATTAAGTTCTTTCGATTGGAGTTATCTACATCCTGTGGTTATAAAAATACATGCCTTAAATCACATTCAATTCAGAAAGTTTTAATTAATGTCATCTTTTTCTGTATTTGTTGGAATAAAAATGTAATCATTAGCGTAAACTTGTGACATTTATATCGTGTTTATTCGCTGTAGGTACCAAAACCGTCGTGTGCGCCGATCAAGTTGGCGACAATATCTGTACTATATTACACTGACGACTCCAATGTAATTCTGCGCAAATACAAGAACATGGTTGTTAAGACTTGCGGATGCCATTAGGAAAAATGTTATAATATGCCGTTTGAACAAAGAAATGTACAATTTTAAATGTAACATATTTAATTCTTACACTTATAATTGATCCTAATCAAATTAAAACTTCTACGTCTTAGTTTATTTTGTATGCGACTCCATATAATTTATTTAAGGTTTAGATGCATATTATAACAATATCAATTCTTATTATAAGTCATTTATGTTAAGAAATCTATGTGCCAATTTGAATATGAAGTCAGTAAAATTATTTTATTAATATTGTAGTCATAACTAATTTGGATTTTAATGTGTACAATTTTATCGATTACAAATTTATTTTTAATAACTAGTTGTTTTATTTTGTAACATGATTTATGTTTTATCCAGAAAGAACACAACAACTGCAACGCAGTCCGATTTTATTACATTTAATAGGCAAAACTTCTGTGGTTAATTGTGTAGATGGTAACAGAAATAAACCAGATATTTGGATTTAGTTTACTTTAATAAAATATTAAACAAAATATTTACTCGAACCATTTAGAACATACGGCTATGAAATGACGCATAGCTTTGCAAGGGGCGGATATGTATATTTTAATTTTGTTATTCTTCCAAATATCATATCGAAAGATCATTTCAACGACACATTATTACTGATCATCTGTAGTTCACTCAGCGGCGATCGTGACAGCTTGCTGACGAAACACTTTGGATATAACATGGGTTATTTCTGTAAGTAACATTAACTGGGATGCTAAAGCATTAAAGATTATTTAAATCGTGCTTATTGCAACAGTATTCACGACTACCATTTCTTTTTTAACACAAATGGTAGTGAAAAAAAATAATTCAGTGTTATCATTCTAGCGATGAATAGTCCTGTTGTATTTATTACTTACGTAGTAAAGGGTTTGTAAATGAGAACACCTAAATTTTAAATTAACCTTTGTGAACTTCATTACGGATTTATGGTTGTAAAACCTAATTTATGTTTTATTTGAATTTACATTCGAAGTGGTTTGATAGTTTGGCACAGATCCACGGATTGTGATAATTTAATGGATGTTGTTTACATTACTCAGGAAGTTTTATAACCTATAGAAGGCATTTGTACATATTATGACATTAATTCTGATAGTCTGACAATATTTAGCATACATTAGGATATTGTCTGCACTCATATTTTATTTATCATTGGTTTCTGAGATCAAAATCCATATATAAAACATATTGTCATCCATCTCATTATCTATGACAAAATCGATGTGAAAATAATTTTTTATATAAAGATTATGATCTTAGAAACCAACGACTTCATTCTCTTGTTTATATATTTTAACTAAAGATAATTGCAGTGCAATTAAAAAGAACAAATAGCATGATTGCAGAAATAAGGCAAACATAATGTGGCCATATGTACATGCATATTACATAGATTTTAAATATGATAAATATGAATACTATCCCGTTCGTTAATATTTCCCGGGTTTTATGCTTATTTTTTCCTGTATTGCGGTTTTTTTGCATATTTTTTACATTGTTACTACAATACTAGGTATACTTACTTAACGTGACCGTTTTATCCCAGAATGGGATATCTGGGATATTTTTACTTTAAAAAATAGTGTTTTAGGATTTTTTTGTTTATGAATCTAGAATAACACTGAAAAATCATAACAACGTAGTTAAATAGAGATGTAGTTTAATAGGCTATTGGTATGACTTCTATCTACTTCGAGTCTTGTTTTTAGATAAGTGTGGAAGTTAGTACATTATATATTTATATTTATATCCGTAACCAAAGTAGCTTTTAATATTGCGACCTTATTTCATTAATTTAAAAAAAAAAACCTCGACTGTTACTTTACATTAAACACATTTTAAATTATCGTTTGGTATGCTTAAAGAAGCACAAACTAGAATTATGTTGGCTTTTCTGGGGACACTGGGTTATACGGTCTGAAAGCGAGACTGTCCTGTCCAAAGCGAGACGTATGGTAACGTTAAGTACATCGCAATGTTTGATCTTAGTAATCTTTTGTTTACATGACATAATTCATGTTACACATTCTTGACATTTATTATTATTAATTCCTGTAATCAGGTATCACTGCATAACTTGAAGCAGCCACATAAGGGACAACGTTGATCTTAAAATTGAATTCAGTGTCTTACGTTATCTAATCTATTAATTAATAACTTAGGCATCAACTCAACATGTTTAATTATGTCAATTTTTTTTTGTAATATTTTTGGAATCACTCCTAGAATACTTCTACTACAAGCATCTGAGACTATTTCATATGATCGCCATTTATATGTATAATCTATAAGGTATATCGAAAACATTTAACGGGGTGTGTTATCATGATTCACAACTGCGCTGTTGTTTGCACATCCGTTCAAAAATAATCTTAAGCAAATAAACACTTATGCCTTGCAAAGAACAAAGTTCGAATACACATTTATAATCGACGTTCCTCACAGCTTAATATGTCCTTAATTAATCATGACCACATTAATCTACTTATAAATGCAAAAGAGTATATTTAGTCAAGTTTTTTTTAAATATAGTCACTTTTTTGGAGATTAACAATGTAACTAAACGCCGATTGAACTACAAATATATTTTTACTCATAAAGGAACGTTATACCGAGGTAATTGAGAAACATATACAATTAGCAAGATTGGCAATTATTGGCAAGTTTCCAGAAGAGTAGCATAGTGTTAAATATGAGCCGACATAAACAAGTCAAAACAATAAAGGTTATAAGGACTTTGGCTGCTGTAACTGGTGTTGTGCGAGTATAGTCATAAAAGTTATACAACATTGAATTCGGATTATTGCAAATAAACACAATTTATACGTTTGCTGCCACGAACTTATGACTAAGAAGGGACACATATACCTAAGTTCAAATAAACACTGCTGTTACAAAATGTCATAAATAAGCGAAAATATTAATAATAAAGACGTGCAAAGTAAAATTAAACCTTGTTTTAATGGTATGAAGGACAATTTTATTTGCGATAAAAAATTTGCTTTGCTCTGTGTCCCGGTCTGTCTGAACAGACCTTTCCTGCTGAAGACGAAAAAAAGCCATTAAATGTGCTAAAGTATACGTGTTAATAAATAAAATCTCTCTGAATTATTTAACAACATAAATAATCTTTTAGTCTATGCACTAAATTAGTGATGTTAAAATAACATCGTCGACTATGTAGACTAACTTTTCAAAAGCTTCGGAAGCTTTGCTTTGCTTATACTTCACTGTGAATTTTACTTCAAGTATTTATATTGGTGGTAAAAGTAAAGGATTGGGAAATAGAATACACTAATGGATTCGTTTGTTTTCAATATTATCTTAGATTAGAGGAATATTATATCAATACATTAGTCACATTTCTTGAGAATAAATAAATATCACAATAAGTTCTTAGTAATCAATCGGCCACTTTACTGTTATCAGTATTTGATTGGCTATGAATCGGAAGCGTTGTTGTTATATCTTGTTAGAATAGTCGCTTGCCGCTTGTTGCGTTAGATTATTGGAATAGATTGATTTTTGATATATGTCTTTATTTGTGAAAAAATAATAATAAAATAAATAACTAATATTTTAAATACGTCGACAACCAATGACAATGGGGAGGCGTAGGAAGTTGTAGTATAATTATCAAGGCTGTGTTCTCCTGGGCGTATAGAGCGCTCCTCGCTCCTCGGTGCGGCTGCTTGTCCGCAGTTTGCAGCCCGCATCATTTAGCCGCCGCCGCCGACCTCTGCCGCACGCCCGGCTCCGCTCTTCGTATAAACAATGCATTCCGCGATGACCGACGCTAACCATCTGGTGTAACTATATCAAACATAAGTGTGGGAAACAGTGCGTCGAGATTCACGAACCATGTGGATCCCGGTATATGTGTGTTCTTTTCTCGCGACGGCGGCTGCAGCTGGTGACTTCTTCAGTGATGGTGAACCGACGGTTTTTCGAAAATGTTGCCCTCGGCAACATAGTCTCGTCAAGGTGGTGTCGGATCGCTACAAACATTTCGACTGTTTGAACCGGCTGAACTTGGAGGAAACTTACAATATTTCATATTCCCCTTTGATAATAAGCGATGAACAATTCGTTTCCGTTGATTATGGCTTACCAATATTATGCGATGGTGTGAACATGACAGTGAGTGCGGTTGATTTTGAAGCTAAGTTATCAACTTCCTTGAATATCTGTTATGATAGGTTAGTGGCAGAAGTCAGCAATGGCACGGTAATCCCATACATTCCTCAAACGATAGCATTAACCTGTATAAACAATGAAACGGAAACTAAATCGGAATCAGCCTTACAAATAAATCACGTGCGAAAATGCTGTAGAAAAGAACAAGTTTTTAACGATAGGAATCATGTGTGTGTAGATAGTGGAGACAATGACGAGCAGTGGATTGTTGACCGTTTGAATTTAACAGACAGTTATGTTTACGAAGTGGACATAGGCTTGCAGTGCAAGTCCGATGAGTATGCTGTTGAATTACGACAAAGAGATTATACTTTTTCTGTAGATAAAAACGTATTATTAGTTACGCATAGGAACGATAGAAGGAAAACAGATAGTCTGATGAAAGGGGAATGGTGCATCGATCAAGGGTACAACATCGAAGATATGGTTGCCAAGGTTTGCACTCGAAATTGCGCTGCTTTTAGTGCCTTTTGCGTTCGTAAATGCTGTCCTGAAGGATACCATTATAAAGTAAGAAGATGCAATAGTTTAGTAAGTTCCTGTGTACCTAACGTTGACGAGCAAGACTATTTCCAACCAACGTATTACTTGGAACCATTAAGGAATGATTACTTCAGTTTGACAGGTAAGTTTTCCTTACTTATTATTTTTAACTAATATTATGGTTTATCAAATGTGGTACGTTCTCCTATCAAATAAAATAGTTGATACCTTATCTGATAAGTAAACGACGAAGTTTAAAACGTAATATCATTCTACATAACCTGCTATATACTAAAATCGATTTACTATTTAGATAATATTTTTTGAAAAATGTTGTAGCGTATCGTAATTAATTATTACGAAAAAAAACGAATCTGTAGTACCTACACTAAATTTCAAAATGTACGATGTTTTACAACACGTTGAACTATATTTTTTACATATTTTATCTTTGCGTTTCACACCTGGTGTAATTTAAATGAGCCTTTAAAGTATCCAATTTATTAATATTAAGAATTGACATGAAATCACCCGTTTTAATATAAAACTTGCTTTGCCAAACTACGGAAACTTTTATTAAGGCTAGACGAAAAAACTTTGTCAGATACATTATACAGCGGGAATCATTTTCCTGCGCCTGTAACTAACAAATAAGTCAAAAATAATGTTATCCAGAAAGCGCTATTTTAAAATGTTGCTCATTTCGTTCTTCAGTTCTTCATGTAATTGTTTCGTTTGTTATTCTTACATAAATAATATGACGAACCGGTACATGTAAAATACTATATACCTACATTGTAACATAGTATATTTTTGTTATAATACGTTGGATATGCAAAGGAAGAGTAAGGTTTACAGTGTTATAGATGTAGTATAATGTTATGATATTTAACAATACTTGAAGTGTTACTCCAATCAATATTTAAACATTATTTTAATTGTAGATCATAGGAAGTAAACTATTTTTCAATTAATCACATATCATATACAACGTAGTATACCAAATTGTAGTAATAATACACGAAGGTACGTATCTCTGAAGGTAAGCGATCTCAAATAATTTTATCTTTGTCAGATGTAATGGGAATCCGTACAAACTTAGACTGCCCGGACGGAAAGTTTGTGCTGAACAGATCGGACCCTCGTGACAATCACCGTTTGACTGCCGAGGGTTTGCTGGAATCTTCGATATCTCTCACAAACGACTACTGTATAGAAATGTTCGATCGCAGACATTGTCCAGAGAATGACGTCATTTCTAGTACCGTCCTCTGCTTCATTGCAGCGGAGAAGATAAAGGATTTTCGGGTAGCTTTCGTGGTGAGTTCTTGAAATGGTTTCTGCTAATTTCAGTTAAATACATTATCCAGTTCTCTATAACTACGTACATATTTGGTTAACAGATTTAGTTTAAGTTGATTTTCCAAGAAAAGTGCAAGCTCCACTTTGTATGGTCATTAATCCATATTTTAGATTTCCCAGGAATTAGAATAAAAATGACTAAACAATAATGAATGTTAACGGACGGATTAGAAAAAAGTGAATTAAAATTTCCACGTAATGTGAATTAACAAATGGTCTTATTAATTTTTGTAATCTATTATTACCGAGTCAAATAGCGTGACTGGTCAAGGTCTCATGTCCATGCTGTTTACTGAAAATGATTTTTCATATAAATATTTTAAAACATTTACAAATTTTACAACTTTCTTTGATGGGTGATGTATTTATTTTATTATTATATTTTTTGTAAGAGAAGCAAATTATTTCTTGCCTTATTTCAAAGCGTCAGCAACAACAAATATGTACCACGAATAGGCCAGCTCGCAGCCGGTGAAATACCACGACAACTGAGAAGACAGGCGTCAAATGGAAGTAATTCCGCGTTTCATCGGATGAGTGAGCGTGCCGGATATCTTATTTTAGTCCTCTTTCCCTTTCGTCCTTTACATGATAAGAATCATCCATATATCCATCTAAACTTTTGCATTTGCATTTTATAATATTCCTAAGATTTAACTGAATTTTCAAATCTCTTTGGTTCTGATGTAGATAAATAGTATATCAAGCGTTTGCTTGGCGCTAACGCTGATCGTTTACTGCGCGCTGCCCGAGCTTCGGAACCTGCACGGCCAGACGCTCATCTGCCACGTCAGTATGATGCTCCTCGCTTACTCCTGCCTCGCGAGAGTACAGTATAGCCCTGTTCTTGACAAACTCACATGTAAATTACTCGGTAAGTTATATCCTTAACTTGTTTTAACAATTTGTGGAAATAAGGTACGCAATCGATCTTCGCTTTAACCGAACCTATGCACAACAGTGCCAACGGTTTCCTCTGTACTTCTAAATACAAATAGTCATAAATATATGCATGTCGTTTATTCATGCTAAGTTATATTATAATAGTAATAAGTATTTTTTTTTTATTTATACAACCTTCTTGTATATTGCTGATATCTTAAAGTTAAATTCTTTTAGCCTTTGTTCGAAATTATATTCAAATTATCAAAGACTTTAAAACATAAAAGACAGGATGGTCATCGTTGTGTAACACTAATGCAAGTAATATAATAATATATGTGTTTATAATGAGTAAACATAATGTGTGCGTCTTGTCTTACAGCGTCTTCACGTATAGTATAAGCAAAGTGTAGTTTGTTAGTATTTGCATCTTTAAAGCTAATATTACGAAAGCCCAAGGATACGGTTTCCTATCTCACAATACTCAAAGCAAGAGAAATATGTAAATATTCATATTTCGTAAAATAACTTATACGAGTTTATGTTTGTTAAATATATTCGCGGAGATAAATTTATTTGCTTTACATTATACGTGCTTAGAAATATTGTTTTATAATAGTAATAATGTCTATATTCTTTTGTCGATTACATTGAAGGTCTGGTGAAGCTTGTCGAACTATTTATCGAAATTTATTAAAGGGTTAAAAATTGTATTTAAATATCTAAAGCGAAGAGGAATGTGCCACAAATATGGGGATTATGTAGGAGTGCTTTACTCAACGCTCTGATGATCCCGGGTACACAAATAATGGGTTTAGAAAAGATAAACAGAAATCTAATTAATCACACACACACACACACGCACACATACAAATGTCTATAATGCTTCATATTAACGTTTTATCAATTTTAATAAATTATATTACGATTATGCGTACGTACAAGTGTACTTAGAGCTTTCATTTTCCTAGTTACGGTACTTGAGTATGGTGGGCGATTTGTTATCAGATGTTATCGATAAAGTTAATTGGTGCACAAACACTCAAGTTTGCTTCAACCTTGTAACAACTTGGTAATGACAAAAGCATAGAAAACTTTTATATATATGTATGTAATCATTGCAAATCAATCATCATCGGCGCGGGGATGAGATGATATGATAACAAAAGAATATTTGTTCGGGTCAGTTTGAATGTTCTCATCTGACACGCTTGATCAATTACTGTATAATGTTTGCACAGGGTACGGTATCTATTTCGGCTTCGTGGCGGCGTTCGGCTGGCTGAACGTCATGTGCTTCGACATATGGTGGACATTTGGGTAAGAATTATATGTTTCCCTATATATATTAAAAGCCTCTACCGCATGTTTAGATTGGTTTTTATTTGATTTAAGCCACGCTAATAATATCACAAATGTCGTAAAACTGTAGTTAGAAGTCGGTTATGGTTTTATATTAATTTGTAAAGGCTTATTGAGCCTATGAACTCTTATCAATGTTTAATACTCTATCCTAATTCTATTTCTTAAATATTTTTAAAACGAGACTTTGGAAGTAGAAAATTTCTATGAGAAAGAATTTTTGTCCGAAACAAGAGTAGCGTAGTTGACAGTTTGTAGACATTTGTAGGTATTTTGTGGCGCAAACTTTAAATTAGAATAAAAACAAAATATTAAAATACACATATATTAAACATTATCTAAAGCAGATGTTAATTTGAGCTAGAAATTACTCTTTCACGAGTCGGTTTGTTTATATTTAAAATGTCGGTCTAGTTCCCAACTTCTTGGTAAATACGTAACAAGTACTCGAAAAACTCGTGAAGTGTTAAATCTCAGAATCAATGGGTATCACTATTGTGGTCAAGAGATAACTGTGATGGCATTGATACATAGACTATGATTGTTGTTTTCAATATTTTTGGATGAGATGTTTTTATTTAATAGAATTCTTTAATATTTAACCAATTATTTACATAATATTCTGTCATCTATATACACTGAGTTACGCAATATTTAGATTTGCGGAAAGAACCGAATTGCGCAAACGATACTACATAGTAATTCAATTTATACTCAAACGATGATTTGTATGTACGCTCTAACACTGTAAATTTACTATTATAATTGTTTTACGTCATCAACCTCCCTGATGATTTTTAATATGTTTTTACAATTAGTATCCTGTACAAACAACTTACTCATAAAGCTATCATTGCTGCTCACGAGATTTTGGGTTGTAAGTCATCATCATCACCTAAGCTTTTATAGCAGTGTGTAGTGCTTCAGATAAAAGTCATTTTAAGCTAACTAAAACTATAAATATATAACGAAAATTATTATAAATTTGTTTATGAATGAAATAATAACGACACAATGTTGAATGATTTAAAGTCGGCAGAACTCCAAATAGTGGAACTGATGCCAGTCCGTAGTATTCAAATGTAAACTTTGCAAATTCAAAAATAAATATTTGCCGTATACTAGATTGATGTACTATAGCTGTTCAAAGGCGCTAAAACTATGTGACTAATGTTTTTCTAAATAAGAGTTAACTGGTGGGAGGATTGCTTCTCTGCGTCAGCCATGTTATAGGGATGTCTGAATATCTCATTTGTTTGGCCTTGTCGGATCCGTATTTACCCGTGTACACGTCAATTAACGATATACTGCTATTTTTACAAAACTATATTTTTAAAACTGTGCTCAATAATAGCGTATTTAGCAAATGTAATACTTTGCAAGTCATAAAACACAAGCTAATGAATTATCCCAATTGGCCAATAAAAACTGTAATCGAAAACAAATTACTTTCATTGATTCTGTGATATAAACTATTCGGGAGTGGCGTGGTCGCCGCAGGTAATGTCACCCCAGTGGTTTAGCTGTCTGACGCCTTCGACCAACTTTGATTGCCTAATCGACCTAATAATAATTAAATCGGATAGATTGATCAACAAAAAATCTTACGTAATTGGAACCTCTTTCTTTTACTGCTCATTGTATGAGGCTGTCTCTAAATAAGTAGTAACAATAGAAGTGTACCTAGTATTTTTTCGGTTTATTAGAAAATGGCAAAACACATTTCGCTATCATATTATTAAATATGTTAAAAAATATGATGATAATGGAAAGTGTAAAGGTTTTAATTTATGTATATTTGATTGTCTTTTGTTATAATTTACTATGTAAATAGTACATATTCATTGGAATGAATGCTAATGAAATGCGTCAAAGTCGCAATTGCCGTTAGCTGTAAATAGGGTGGGTCTTTAATTAACATACAACGCTGCCGTCTCTAGGGACTGTTTTTATATAAATTACATGCAATTTTTGTTAAAGCTAATAAAAAATAACACAGATTATCAATCTGCATAACCTTAGTTAAAATATAGTAAAGGGAAGACTTAAAAGATATCTTTGAGCGAAGCCTACGCTCATCTGTGGCGGACATGTGGCTGAATGATGATAAAATAAGGACTTCATCCATAGTGACTCTGTTTTAAACTACTTCCTATTATAAGTATGACTTTAAAAAAATCTTGTCACGAGATTTGTTTTTTGTTTTTAGTAGAGCAACATATTTAAATAAGTTTAGCATTATTTTTAACCAAAAATCTGTGTCGAAACAAAAAAAAATCATTGATTGAATAACTACTCATATGTGTATAGAAATCCCTTACTGATTTACTATTGGTACTAACCGTTTTATTTCTCTTATGAATCTGTAAATGTTTGACTATGTAGGCGTAAATACATATTGGTGTAGGCGTTCATGTATTAATAGGAATCACCGACGTGTTACGTTTAATAAAATCTAAAGAAGCTTCCGAAAAATGTGTTATAAAGCTGTCTTAGTATATTTTGTCGCACCAAAATAAAGGGTATACCTAGAGGCTAACGTTTGTTAATAATATTGAACTATATAACCAATTGTAAGCCTCTAATTCTCTTCAAGTAATTAATTATTTTTATTAATGTTATTCTAACAATTATTCAATAGTATAAAAGTAATGGTATTTGTTGCAGAGCTTTGCCATTTTTATTTTATTTAACCTCTGCGACAATGAAGCGAAGTGTAGCGGGTTTATATGACAGGAAATATTGCGATCAATACCTATTAACAACTTTATGACCATCGCGCCATTATTCAGCGGCGAATTGGGTTATAAAACACCACTGAACTCAATAAACCAGTTTATGCTATTTCATAATTATCAAAGATGTTTAGAATGTTAAGTAAACATACTACATGTAAAAATAAAAGGGATGTGACATATTTACTGTACCAATAGGTACCAATTTAAGAAGTTTTGCCATAAAAAAAACATTATATATAGTAGAAATTTATTTGTTTTAACAGGAGTGTGAGAACAGTTCAACCTTTAAGGAAGAGTAGTTCTGAACGTCGTCGTTTTATTTGGTATTCAATGTACGCCTGGAGTATTGCAGTCATTTTGACGCTGACCATGTTCCTTTTGGACCGGTATTCTATTTCAATCATCCTCGATGCCAATATCGGAAATGGTGCCTGCTGGTTTGGATCACGTAAGTCTATTTTTCATTTTTATAGCTTCTTATAAAGTACTCTTAAAATTTGCTCTAGAGAACTTTTAGTAACAGTGACTCAGAACTATGAATGATGACCATTAATTATAATGAATACACATCGTATATCTATATTTAGTGCAGGGATCGTACGCCTAAAACATTTTATAGCTTTACGTCATGTAATGTACATTCCATTTCATAAAATAGCTTTGTGACTATTTACAGTTTATATGTTAATTTAGTAAAACTTTACAACTTTATTTTAAAGACTATTTGTGTGTGCCAAGATTGTTTTTAAAGTTGGGTGCTTTTTCAGTTCAGAACGTGCAGTCAGATTGGCCCCATTACATATATTTTGTAATACCAATAGGCATTATAACGGGCACTAACTTTATCTTATGGATATTGACTGCGCGACACTGCGCCCGCGTCAAGTCCGAGGTGCACCGCTTGCAGGCCGGCTCCGTCGGTGACCGCGCCAAGCGACGTTTTCGTCTTGATAGAGCTAAGTTAGTGAATGTCAAATCTTTAAACAGTAATAATTAGTAAGAATAAAAATCCTGGTTTCTTAACTAAATTGTAATTAATTTAAAATAAAATCATTCGAAGTGGAATATTCAGAATAAGGGTTTGGTGAAATACTGTTTTAGCGACAATGACTGCCTTTTTTTAACCTAAAAATTAGCTGACCTAAGATAAACTAAGTTAAAATTTTTAATATGTAATTAAAATATCAGAATAGAAACCACATTATTAAAAAATAAATAAAATATTTTAACGTATTGCTGTGATAAAATTTAGGTGTTATAGTAGATTTCATTTTAATTTTATTTGCAGATACGTATTGACTGGCAAACTATGGGTAGTTATGGGCGCTGGCTGGGTGTCGGAACTGCTCTCTACTATCGTAACACAGCCTCCCTGGCTTTGGACTATCGTCGATCTATTCAATGAGCTTCAGGGTGTTTTCATTTTCCTCATTCTGGTAGTCAAACCTAAGCTGTACTACCTGATAAGAAAGCGCTTAGGTAAGAAATTGGGTTATTTTCGAACATCTATAATGGATTTTTTGGATAAAAGAAAATGCAATTACAATTACATAAATTGTAATAAAACATAATAATAAATAATAGAAGACAATCGTCGTTAATGATAAAAGAAACGTTTGTTAACAAAAGGAATTATCTTTTCGTATAAGCAGTTACAAGTGTTAATTTTATTCCAGGTTGTTCTCGGACTCCAATAGACACAAGTATATATTAAATATTTATTTTTCATGTTCTTCAGTATCTTTATGCTTTTTCTATTATTAAGCTATCGCTGTTTTAAGATTAATTTATATCAATGTGTCAATCATCCTAGGGACTAGGATAATGATTGCGCATAATGTACGTGTATTGGTTAAACTTGCATGCACTTAGTTTTGTTAGGTTCAGGTACAACGTAATCATTATTCTTACACATATAATACAAGCTTAGTTACCACGCCTATTAAATTCTTATAATTCGTGTTAAGCTGCGCATTTTACGCACGAATATAACAACGTGCGTTGTGATGGATGTGTTAAAACTTACAACTTTGTTCGTAAAAACATTCCATTAATTAACATAGTTTACTTACCGCTTTTAACAAAAATATCTGTGTTTTAATTTTAGCGCAAACGCCAAACTTGCACTCGTTTCGCATTGGTGTTGAAGCTTTTATCGCATTTTTGCCAGAATTAAAAATAGATTCGTCTATCTGAAATAGCTTTCGAGATTACTACCGGGAATAAGGGATGCTATGGGCATCATATGTTGGGTACGAAAATATAGCGTTGATGAGCTAGTAATTTGTCATGTTTAAGTGTTAATGACATTAGATTTCTGCTCTTTGTTAAATATAAAAAGAAGGAAACGCTTTCGTTACACTTCCCGTGGGATGAAAGCTTAGTATTAAAAAGTAGGTAGATGATTTCGGGCTAAATTTTATATGACGGAGAATTGTACGTAAAACAAAAATTAAGAGACATTGTCAAGGTATTTTATGCCCCAGCTAATAGCATTACAACCTAATGAGCCACTGTAATTAATTAGCATACTGATGAATTTGATCCGCACGTCTCGTTAAAACTTTAACGTAATCATGTGACCTTATTAACTGAACTAATATAAACAGGGCTGGAGAAACCGGACTCGCAGAAGAATGGCACCTCCTCATCGGCCCGCACCTCCTCCACCTTCCTGTCGAGGACAATTAGCTCCGATGAACGCGCTAATTTACGAACCTACCAACATAATAACCATAAGCAATCTTAATGTATGTCTGACTTGTGTTATGTTTCTAGAAAGTCTTTCTCAAACATTTATTTGTAGAATTTATGTAGCATGCTGTGAATTATATAATAATTTTGCTGTATATTGCTGATGGAATGCTTGGTAAAAATTAAAAACAATCTATTGTAGTTTTCGAGGGTAAACAAAAGTGTAAGCACACAAAAGAGGTACCGCCATTCACAAAAATAAATGCGGAAACTGTTTCGTGTAATTTACCATTGAATAAACAATTTTCTTTCACTCGTCTGATCATAACATCCATTATACTGATTTACATTGCATTGTTTAGAAAGACTTTTCTAGGGAATTAACTGTGTGAAAATGGCTTAACTTGAATTACATTAATTTTTGTCCATTAATCGTTCTTACGAATTGTAACGAATTATTATTGTTTTTCATGCTTTGTGAATCTCTATGATAAGCTATCTACAAGAAGGAACGTAATGCAAAGAAACAATTCCTTATTTAAACATTGACATTACAAAATATGTTAAGTTCGTTTAATTTAAAAAAGGACGATAGATTAACAATGAGTAGTCATGTAAGAAATCATATTTAGCCGGAATTGAGCTTAGCCAGAATATGTTAAATATATGTTTAAAAAACCTGAAAGTTGAATGTATTTGTCTAATACTACGGCATCGCTAAAAATAGCACAGTTTAAAGAAACCCAAATATATCTAGTCATAACGTAATTAGGTATTCCCGTTTATTATGTATGTAATGCATATGTTGATGTTAAGCTTAATAAGTAGTATATAAGTAATCACCATAAATTGAAAGTAAGATAAGGCGTACTCTTGTAGTAATTACATTTCACTTACGCAATACTTAACTATTATCCCACCTAATTTCGTATGAGTAATTTTTTTATGTAAATCGCGTTAATTATGTACTTAAGGATTCAATATTTTAGTATTATAAGTAATAGTTTGAAATGATTTAGTACTTGTTAAATTCTCCGTAGAACGAACCTATTCCAATTTTGACATACATGTTTTGTCACCATATTATTCTAATTAAAATGTGCACTTTGTGTATTTTTAAGTGCTTTTATAAAAAAAAAACTATAAAGCATAATGGTACCGTGTTATTGCCAAGGCTTTATATTTTTAGTTACTAAGTAAAAAAAAACCGGTTGTACATGACATCTGACTAATTGAGATTTGAGACTCTGCAGTTTTTTTATATAGTTTTATGAAATTCATTTGTTTCGTTACCACGAGTTATCAACTAACGTATGTTATCATATATCAAACTGGTATTGTCTATCATTAGTAATTGTAAAAATAAAAAAGTAAGTAGTTTTAAATTAATATTTAAGGTTATCTAACTATTTTATAGTAAAATAGAAATAAATCTTTCTTTTAATTACACTTTGCTTACGCAGATATCATCGACTTATAAAGACAAACTTAATAATTTTGAACGATTACGTTCTCCAATGTACAATACGTATTTTAGAAGTAATGATATATTAATTTAGGTAAATGGATATGTAGTAACATACATCGTAGATATGCACGGTTATAAAGGAAGCTATAGCTATATCTATATACATATTATCTCGATACACAGCTTAGGTGTCTATGTTTATACTATGGGATAATACATAACTTGATATATCTAACCTATTGAGTACTAATTGGTTCAATGTTTTTTCGTAGAAATGGACATAACCTTTTACTATTTCGTATTCATTTATGTCGGCTGCGTACCAGGAGACATAATTCAGTAAATTTTACAAATTGGCTCCAGCTGTGCACAATTGCCATAAATTAGGTAATATCGATGTATTACATTCATTTTTCGACTATAAAAAATATAAAAAGAAACGAAAATAAGATTTTCATTTGTTGAATTAAGTAGAAATAGTCTTTACTTAGCGTTTATTATGGCTTAATGAGTAGAATTAATTAATACGTCACCGGTACAGTAAAGTACTAGAAGCGTCAGAAAAATAATCTGTAAAAATTGAAATATAGCATTCAAGTAAATGTTAAAATATGATTGTTTTAAGTTAACATTATTTTTATAAATTAATGAGTATATCTGTGTATTTTAATTATTATTAAAATATCCATTCCAACGGTTATTTTATTCTTTATATCCATATTGTTTTTAATAGAAAGAAATAGCAATAGTAGTATTAGTGGAAACCAATTGGTGTGTTCAGGTGCTTTGTAAAAAGCAAATTATGTATTCAACTGTTGTTCAATGAGTATCCACTATCATGCTTGATACGATGATTAATAACGACTCCTTATTAATGACATAATGACCTCTATTCTCTTTTGAGTTTCAAACACCAATGAAAATAATTTTGCATTACTAACAAAACAATTTTGCCCTTCTCGATTAATTTGTTGTAAAATGTTTCTAAAAGGTATACTGGAAATAAAAGAACAATTAAGATTATTTTTTTTATTACGAGTATTATCTTAAATATTTATTTTTTTCAATAATAGTGCATTTATCACTTTACAATAAGTTTAAACTGCGATACTTGTTTAAACAATCCACACAATTTCACTATCCGAATATAACATATTAAATATTTTTAATAGGATCACATTATAAAAAGTTGATGTAAATATTGTTATTCTAGTAATAAGAAGATAATTTATATCAGCTTCGTACCAGGTAACAAGCAAATCACAGGGATGGGCTTATATTATTTCATTCATGATTTTGGTCCCAATAATAATGTAATAATTGGACAAAAACTAATTGTTTTTTCTCAAAATATTAAACCGTAAAAGATTTCGAAAGAGACGATTTAATATTTATGACTTTTGTTTTTTTTTATAAATTATTTGGCCTTATATTTATTAGGTTATATGAACCGAGTAACAGATTTAAAATTTCGTTACTAAGTTACAACTCCGATTAATTAAAGGATACGTTACATAAAGTACAATGCAATGCATTAAGGAACTACTCATTATAATTGGTACATTATTCTCAAAATAATAAATTGATTATAAGTATCCTTAAACATAATTACTATTAATGCTGATGTCACAACAATACTGATCTCATTTAACAAATACTTATCTAGAGCTATGCGAATAACAAATAATTACAACAAAAGATACTTAAGTTAAATAATACTCAAACGATTTTTTTTTCCATATGGTAACATTACCTAATATAAAAGTGTAAAGGCGAGGTTTATTCTAATCCATTAAACATTAAGTATACACATTTATCACATCAGCGAATTAAGTTCTTAGTTTTGAATACAAGTAAAATTAATTCGTTTTGTCCCATGCTATGCGATATTTACTGATATTAATGTACGCGTTCTATCGCAACTCGTTAAGTACTCCGTACTAAGTATCAACAGATTAAAAATCCCTCAAATAACAAAACGTATTCAGAAATTACGAAGTTGTTATTTGCTTTCATAAAAAAACGAATACTTCGGATGATAATATTGTTTAGATATTTTTGATTATTTGATCTGTTGCTTGAACAAGCAGTTGTGTTGTGGAATGGATAAGTATAATGGACGGTAAAAGACTTGTCGAGGTGACAGCGCTCATGTGCGGTGGTTGGGTTGCACAGTGACAGGCACGGGCGCCGGCATCGGACTACTGTACGCGTTAGGCGCTGCAGGACTGTCCTCTGGCGATGAGTTGTTGGCTTCTGCCTCACATTCGCGTTCGGCGACTTCCTCTTCATCGATGATAGAAATGTCTCGAATAGACGGACGATGTGATCGTCGCCAACCTGTCGAAGGAAATTTTGTTCTACTTAGTAAATTAAAAAAAGAAATAAATGTAATTAAATACAAGTTATGGTACTAAATGACTCTGCATGCACAACGCAAATTTGATAAGAGTACTATAAAAATAACTTTATAAAACTATATGTACACAACAAGTATACTATGTCGAATGCCGGCAGTGATAAAAAGGTCAAAGTATATCTGAGTATGTATTGTTGCGGGTGACATCATCGGTAGTCTCATCCACTTTAGTCGTTTAAAAGATTTTAACGATGACGGTTCGTTGCATCCTAATAGTGACTGTTATTATTTTGCAATTAAGTTACACAGTTAAATGTAGTGATAAAGTGGAAAATGGTGATGAAAAGCAGACATTTCCCAATTACAACAGTAAATATCAAACGTTTCCGCGCACTTTTTCTGACGATACACGAAATGATTTGAAGACTCGAAGTTTTCCAGATGTATCAAAAGTGACCGATACCGATGATTTCAAAACAAGGATAATTGAGCGCAGATGTGGCAATTCTTTATGTGAGATCTTCAAAAATCATCGCGTGAGCAGACAAGCTGGGTATTCACCAATGTATCCACAGCTGCCAACATCTTACCCGTACCGGCAACCTAATAATACTTATCAGTACAATACTCATCAGCAGAGTAATCCATATGGTAACAATCCCTATCCTTCATATCCGAAACCTGTTGTACCAATTATTCCATATCAAAATCCTGCCATAAACGGACCAGCTTATAACTCTTCTTTACCACATAATATTAATAATAATACATCGAATCACAATTATCAAAATTCTAGACATACTTATCCACAAAGTCCAAGACCCCCAATTCGTCAACCTTTTCCAAATTATGGAGCAAACAATACATCCGTGCGTTTACCCACTAATCCCTCTTATCCTTCCAATATAAACCAACCAACAAATTCTTTCGGTACTGTACAAAAACAGGGTTATCCTACTCCATATCCTAGATCCAATTTTACTAATTATAACATTTATAACAACAGGACACAAGGCGGTATATTACCTAATAACATCTATTCGCAACCCAGACCTTTACCGTCGGGTCAGTTGATAAATAATTCACGACCAAGTTACAATGGTTTCCATACATATCCGACATCTAACTTCAATGCAAACTTTGACGGTTACCAAAGTCCTAATGGTTCATATTACAATGGTAACAGTACTTATTATAATCCACAAACAAACTATACTTACAGAGCGCATGTGATACCTAATTATCCAATTTATGGAGCAAACAATTCGCTTGGAAATAATAAAAATAGTTTCCATATTCCTTTTGGGGGTAACAATTATTATCCAATTAATAACAATAATGCCAATACTAATAATGTTAATAATTCCGCACATAATCCGTATCAATGGTCGAGTACAAACAGACCTCAGACAACTTACACTCCTAATATACCTCAATATAATGGAGCAATGGAACCAAATCATTTTTATTATGTTCCTAATAATAATGGCTCCAAGTATGATCCCAGCAGACATCCACCAGAACGATTTTCTTATTAAACGCATACGTTATTAATCTTATTAATGTACAATTTATCTGTAGAATAGTTGGTGAACTTTTCTTAATAAATATGTCAGATAATATTGTGTTTTTATTTTATTTTTAAATTTAAACTATTAATATATATATATATATATATAGCTGTGAAGGTGTGGGCCAAAACATTACACAGTGGCTTGTTAAATAACGCGATAATCGTGAACCATATATTTTTTTACAGAATAAATACGTACCTTCCAAAACGGGAGGCTTGGTAGTTTTAGAGAGCAGTCTGGGTCCAGTTACAGTAATGACCATGGCTCCCAGGGGGGCTGTGATCACAATGGACATGATGCACACGGTGAGCACCGTTTCCGCGTATTGCAGCAGCTCGGGCACGGGTTGGCCGTCGGCGGTCGCCATCTTGCGCACTTCATCCAAAGCTACAGGACCTAATGCGGCCTGTTGATTCAATCAAACAAAGCGATTAACATCAACAATTTAAAACTGAAAAATAATTGCATATTTCTTACAAAGGTATAAGCATATTACAATTTATGGCAATTATATGCAGGTGAATCAATCGATTGACAACAGTTACTTAAAGTTTCCTTACGAAATACATATTAAAATGTGATACGTGTTTACCATGCGTGATCACTTTTTGTTGGGGGTACGTAAATTACCTAAACAACTCGAACAATTTTGAATTTTGAAATATGTCGTTCGAATCGTATTAAATCATCAGGTCTTGTTATTAATTCATTATTTAAAATAACTACTTGTAATTTCTGGTAACCTACCTGTACGGTAGCCTTGGCCATCCAGGCGAGACCGACGAACACCTTTTCCTTCATATTGAGGTTGCTGCGCACGGCGCAAACGCTCGTAAGTACAGTACGTAACACAGCGCACGTCACCAGGATACCGCCACCAACCAGCACTAAATGCGGCTCCAAATCTGCAATCTGACAACAATAACTCAGTCAAATTCATATACTAATAAACAATATTTGTAGTATTAAGATTCTAACTGCTTGTAACAAACAAACTAGAACTTTTTGAATTGATATAAGTATAGACTGTCAATGTGAAATTACGCTATTGTTGTGAATCAGGTGCAAGACTTTTGTTTTTTGTAATAACAAAAATTAACAAAACACAACTCCTCGCTGCAAGACTTTTTGGTATGATATGATACTCACAACAACTTGTGCTCCAGTGACGGAGAACAACATCGGCTCGAAGAACATCCAGAATATTTCGAATGCGGTTGCAACAGGATTATCTTCAAGTTCCCATCCTTGCTCAGCCCAATTTTTGCAAGCGACGAATGCGAACGCAATAACGGCTAATGGGCCTGAAATGAACAATATAATACAATTAAGCATATCATATTACATACGTATTAGTTTAAAACCTAATTATGTATGAAAAAAAATAATGAGGTTAAAATATATCTATAGCTTAAAAGTTTTAAAATAAGGTTGAATTATTTTATTTTATTACACATTAAACAATGCTAAATTGGTAGATTCTGAAATAACAAATAAATTGAAAATCTAGTTTTGAATACAATAGTACTGTGTATTTCGTATGTGGAATGAATTACACCGAATTGTATATTTTTTCCGGGGAAACTTTGGTGAGGTAAAGTGTGAAAATGACGACGTGTTCTATAGACAAACGTGATGTTATCCGATGTTACTATTTCGAAGAAACGAAATTCGGTGAAAGATGTTGATCTGTGACCGATGACCTGATAGTATTTATATATTTCGCAGCCAGGCCAGCGGTTATACATAATTCTTCGTGTGTTACTAAAACAAAGTGCGTCATTCAGAATAAAAAACAAGATCTATTATTCATAAATTTCAATACTCGACGGCGATTTATTTAACACGCTACAAGAATTTAAGACTAACAGAACACGTGCACTGTATTTTGCTTAAAGCGCAAATCGTTATCGCTTGTTGTTTTTAACATGCACATTTTTTATTGCAAACGTGTTTAAGCCTTTTACTGAATTCAAATCAGCCATTGTAACCAATTTTATGTCAAAACTTTGTAACAGACGAATAAACATACGGTGTATTCTTAGGATTTTGCTAAAATAAAATATTTATTATCTGCTAACGTTTCGGTGAAAGGCAACAGCTGTTAATAAAATTTTTGCATAATTGATAATTAGCAGTAAACCTGTTTTGCAGTTAGCGAATTTGGGTGAACATGATTATTTATTTTATCTTTAGTATTGTACATGTAACACCATTTCCTAGTTAAAAATATAGTAGTTCGTTTAGTACTAAAAATGCGTTTGTACTTTTGTTTTAATTCTTGACAATATTTTCTATTTATAGTTATTAAAGTAGGTTATTCAATGAATGGTTTAATTTGATCGACAACAATAATAATGTAAATGGTTTTAAAATTAGAAAAATAGATTTTTATTAAATAATGTAAATTTATTATGATTTTACTATAATATACATAAACATTATCCCAATGCCCATAATGAATTCAAAAACCGATACAAAAGTAGGAGGTAGTGCTTAATAAAATTCATTTACATATGTCCTGATACTAAAACATTTTATCAATCAAAGAGGTATACATATGAACTTTTCACATCGAGCAGGATTATCACCTTGCTTAACTTGTAATATATAGCTTGTGTCGTAATATTGGACGTACGAGTGTAAACAGATATTTCAAATAGCTTTGTTTCCTTCTGTTTTAATAGAGATCGATTTTTATAGTTGCAACAGAGTATTGTTCGTGTGAAAATCTCGCATCATACAGAACAAAACAATCAATCGTACTCGGAACTAGCGACTGAAAACAATTTAATCGACTACCGGTTATTGAGAAGGCGCGTGAAGCGTGAATTGTGAGTGCTCGAGTAAAAATTTTCCTCAAATAATTTTATCATGTACACATGTTTGTACGTCGTAAGTTTTTATGCATACACTTAGAAACGGTTCTCTTTAAGGAGGAAGTTTTATTTTACACAAACCGATATTGATAATATTATGAAGTGCTGTAGCGTAAGTATTCAGACTTCTTTGACTTACCAGCTCCGCCCCAGCCGATTTCTTCTGATCCAAGAACAGACATGAGACCTCCGGTGAGTAGAAGCAACACTCGTAGTGGCACTAAGAAAGCGTCATTTCTTTCCGGAATATATTTTACAAGGTACCCGCAAACAACGCCAAATGCTATTCCTCCAATCACACTAAATGGACCCTGAAAGCAACACAAACATTTCAGACTATATTCTATTGTTTCTTCCATGAATTCATCAGAAAATTCAATTATTTATATGTTTCTAGTATTAAGAAGTTGAACAAGTATTTTAGTGCCTTTTATAATTTCTTTAATTATTGTTTTGTCAAGATTACCTGTATGATATTCATCGTTATAGATGAACTCGAAAACATGATAGAGGAGACAATTCCGAAGACAGCTACACTGGCAGCGTCGTCTACACCCGATACGGCTAGCACCAAGGTGGGGATACCCTTGGAGACACCGTATCCCTTGCCGCGCAGCCGGAATAGGCATGGTACGATCACAGCCGGCGATACCGCCGCTATTATAGAACCCAGTAGGAATGCTGCAACCAAATATTACTTTAATTTCATGGAAAACAAACAGAAAGTTTACGCGATATTAAATGACTTTTGTTATAAACTTTCGATATCAACAATCGAGTCGGAGAATGAAAAGCTACTCACCCCAATCCCAAGGGAGTCCGAGGAGTAAATTGGCCATCACTGCGCAAAGCACGCATTCAAATGTCCAAGGTATTAGGGCCAGCTTTATAACGGTGAAAAAGAACTTTTTCATTGCTACTGGATCAAGATCCAAACCAGCTCGGGTTAGAATAATTGTTAAAGCTATTTTTCTGAAAAATTTATGATATACGTTAATAATAACATTACTTAATGAGCTGTAAAGTGTTACAAATTTGTAATGAGAAGAAGACTACACATAAAAATTCTGCAAATTTCAAAGTTAAAATACAACAGTAACATGTAAAAAGATATTCATAACATTTCTAAGAATTTCTATGTTTATATAATAATTTTTACCTTATGTAAGAACATACGTGCTCGTAATTTTGATCAAAGTTCACGAATCCGACATTTTTCAGTACAATTCCGACAATCAACATTCCAATGAGTGCGGGTAGTGTGGTCACTTTGACCATAAGCCAGCCGCCGAAGTACGCGGCGATAGTAAGCGCGGCGAGGGTAAACAGCTGCCCGCCCGGTGCTGCCGTCTCCCCCATCACTATCCAGATAATCACCCATACCAAAATACCTAAAACATTCAAAATTATTTTAGTTCGCTTGTAATGAAAATGCATGCAGCCGGTAGCTATTTATAAATTAAAATTAAAAATCGAAGCGAAGTGCTAACAAAATTTATTGTAAATACTAAATTACTCACCAATTAAAAATACGGAAAGTGTTTGAGCAAAATGTCTGTAGGATGGACATAGTGGGTAGGGACAAATTTTTTGCCAATGCGGTGGCTCCCAGGAGGGAGTCCCAGCGTCCTCTTGGTGACACTTCTGGCAGCAGGCGTACCACCAGGACCTGCCCACACAAGAATACATCGTTCACTTGCCTAACGCACTCCAATGTATTTCAACGTTCCACATTGATATCGTGCTGGTTATCGAGGAGGATTTAACTAATTTTAAAAATTGTGAATCAATTTTTATATTGCAATAAATAAATAAATAAAAAGGTTACAAATAATACGTGATCCAACCTGTCGGTCAAAGTTTATAGTTTAATCACGTTTTCTTCATAAACTTCATCATTTGATTTCAACAAAAATAGAATTTGTAAATAAATTGCTGAACAATGAAATACGTAGATATTGGTTGCGTCAATAGTGTGTACTATATATTACTTTTCAATAAAATATAGGTTTATCTAAATCATCAAAACAAATATTTGTAGCAAAAATACTAACTAGAAAAAAAAACGAACATGAAACATAACATTTATTATGCGAAATGATGAAGGCCAATTAAAAAAAGCAATAACTAGTAGACTAATACGAGATATTACCTTTCGATATGTTCG